ACAACAACAACAACAACAACAAGCAGCTGGATGTAGTCATTCCCCATGACGAGACTGGTAATCAACTCCATGGTGGAATCTACTGGAACAGGTGAGTAGCTGCCTTGGGGCAGTGGTCTACCTCCAGTATATAAGAAGACAGCTTTGAGAAAAGTCTTGAGCTTTTTGGCATACTTGGACTTGCATGTAGCTGAGTCTTCATTCAGCAGTATGCCATGTTCCCTGCCAATCCTGGGACTATCTCTGGACTTGAACTAGTGGCCTGCCATGTTGCTTGATAATCTTGGGACTGTGCCATTTTACTTGTTGACTTGGGTTTGTCATCCTCAGCAGCCAGCTGCCTGAGTTAAGAGATGCCTCCAGCTCCAGTGGGCCAGAAGCAAGAGGCAGAGCTGAAACGAAGCCCAAGGTCGAAGGACTTTCACCCAGCCCCTACAGCTGGTACTTGAACTCAGACTTCTAGCCTCCAAAACTGTAAGAGAATAAATTCCTGTTTGTTAAACTCATCCACTTGTGGCATTTTCTGTTAGAGTGGCACTAGAGGACCAAAACGCCACACTAACTATTCACATGTAGCTAATTTAAGTATATATAAGGGTTGTTGATTCTTGTAAGAATGTGAGGAACTCTCTGGGATAATTACATACAAAATATCTGTATACCATTAGAATGAATTCAAAGACCCCACAAAGCCTATCTATGGCCTACAAGTTAAGAATACTTTGAGTTACGAGTAATTATCAGGTATAAGGTAAAGCGCTCTCTCTCTCTCTCTTTCTGTCTCCCCACCCCACCCCACCCCTGTCTCCCTCTCTTTCTCACTCTCTATAAATGATGGTGCAGTGAATTTCAGATTATGGCTGTCCTGGCCATGGTCTTTGTGACTCCCATCAGGTGACTTGGAGGGACCATGCAAATAAGGTGTGTGGAACTCTAATGTGGAGATTGGTTAGCTTTGGCATTCTGCTGTGCCTAAAATGAGCCCTCCTAGAGGCAGAAGAGGGGATCTCACTGCCATCAAGAGAGAAGAGCCAGAGGTAGATTGGAGCACATCTTGGACCTGAGATCCTTGTGCTGGACTTCCTTGGCAGAGAGACAGCAGAGAAGACTGGCAGAGATGACTGGCTAAGATGACTGGCTGATACAACCAGAGAGGAACCAAGACTTGTGTGACAGAGTGGCAGGCTTGCTGGCTCATGCAGCAAGAAAGCTGAGTGCCTTTGGGCAGAAGACTTGCTGGTAGAATGGGGTGCACCTAGGTAAACCTATCGGCAGAGCTAAAAGAGCTTTGAAACACTTGCCCAAGTAGGGCAGAGGCCAGGCCAAGAGGCCAACGGCCAGGGAGACATGCCTGAGGGCACAGCAGAGGGAAGGCTGCCCTGATCTAAGAATTCAATCCTGAAAGTGTTCCAGTGAATTGTAACCTGTTACTTCTCTAATAAACCTCACAACCGTGAGTACTGTCTGGGAGTTCTGTGTGGCTACTGCAATGAATTATAAAACTCACCAGAGCAGTAGTGAGTGCCGTGGGAGTGATGGTTGGTGCCAGAATTGGTGAAAAGGCTGCAAGACAGTGGCATGGCTGGCCTCATAGGAATAAGCCTTGGGCTGCTGATGGTGACTCTGTTTCATCCTCATGAGGTTGGAGGACATCAGAGGATGCTGCCTCCTTGTCCTTTTTGCAATTATTATATTACACAAACAGTTAATTTGTTAATTTGAAGTTGGGAGTGTGATCTAGTATATTTTCCATAGCAACATTCTCCCATGGGTTCTGAACCCTGGATGCACATTTGACTCACCTGTTGTTGTTGGTGTTATGTGACTCACCTAGAGAACTTTTATGGCCAGGTTCTACCTTGGATTAATTAAACTAGAATCTCTAAGAGTAGGGCCCTGGCACAAGTACTCTTAACAGTTCCCCAGGTGAATCTAACATGTAATTAAAATTGAAACGTCGTGCTGAGTCTAGACCACGGATTTCAGCCAGTTCTTCCTAGTTTAGTCATGGCTGACACCAGAGTGGACCCGAATTTGTAAAATGTGGGTGAACCAGGATGATAACCAAATGAGAAAAATTATGGGTTGACGTCCTGCTAGAAACTTAATTTCCATTTTAGAAAGCAAGGGCAGCATGTGCGTCACACAGCAACCAAACCTCTTGACTGGCAGAAGTGGAAAGTGTGGTGCCTGACTCAAAGATGGTGTCTGATTGTGTGGCCTTGAATGTATGTTGCTTTCCATGGCCCTGAAAATAATCTAATTTCCTGCATCAGGCTCCTGAAAGGGTTCCCTATGCCTCTTTCAAGTCACCCATTCCATGGTTTCATATTTTTTCCCATTGCAGTTATAATTCCAGCATACCTACATTTTATAACTTCAGATCTGTTCCCATTTCACTGCATCAGCCATGACTGAACCTGTTCAAAGCCCTGGTCTAGACCCTTGGCCAGTGAGTGCTTTATGAAATTTCCAGATGGAAAAACAAAAACCTTAAGTAAGACTCTTGATTTTCCAAATTATATTGAACCAGACATTTATTTTATGTCTCTCTCTGTCCATCTCTCTCAAGTAAGATGAAAGCTTTCTGTATCAAAGAATTTAAATAAATATGACAATCTTTAGTATTAGTCCTCCAGTACTACTTGACCCTTTAGAAATGAATTTCAAAACAAATCCATTCATGCTAGAAATATGGTTAGCTAAAAATACATACTGGATGTGATTCAAGTGCTTGTTTCAACAGGAGATCCCCAAATAGATCTTCACAATATTTGGACATCTTGTACTGTTGATATTTGCTGGAGAGAAAGAACTGGCATTTGTAAATTCAAACATCTATTAACAGTCAAAGAGTAAGAAACACCCATTCCTATGCAATTAAAAACTCCCACTCTGCAAAACCCATGATTGTCCTCTTGATGTTAATGTGAGATGTATTTTAAATACCGTCAACTTTAACTGGTGTAATTAGAAAAGAAGAAAATTCCATTCCAAAATTAACAGTTGGTAAGTGGAATAAAAATACTTTGAAATCAATGAAATCTGCCTTCAAACAGACTGCCAAATCTTCCAACTTGATGGGACTTTAAATAAGGTGTTCCAATCTCTGACCTTTTGTTTAGAGGGAGAAATTTTAAAACACATTAAAATGAGGTTGTTTGTTTGTTTCTTTTCATTTTTACATAAGACTCTATCCTTACTGGAGAATTATTCAGTATTTACAATTTCACAAAACCAACTATTTAATTATTTTAAAAGATATAGAGCTGAGGTAAGATTTAGGAAACAACACTCTGAGACTTGGAGTAGATTGAATAAATATACCTGCAGTGATTTTCAAAGGAGAGAATTACTGGATATTCAGATGTGACAAATGCAGTTTCCTTGATGGCTTGAATTACATCCTTTAAAGTGAAAGAGAATTAATGAGAGAAGAGTGCAAAACGTTTAAGGCTAGATAATTTGAACCTTCTGGAAAGTCAATGCCAGCAATTAAGCATGGAGATCTCATTTACCTTTAGAACTACAGATTGAGTCTCCTATGGTTAAACCCAGGGCAGAGTTAATGGTTAATAATTATTTTTTCCAAAGCTAAGTTTTACTTTTCCAAAATTATGGTGCTATTAACTTAGCACAGATGTTAGACATTTTGTCTAAATAGTATGCCAGTTCCTTGCTTGATAATCTGCCAAGACAGGAGTTCAGAGCTCACCATCCTCACTGAGCAGGTGAGCTTTTGCCACAGCTGTTTTTATTCAGTGACGGCATAATATCCATTCACCTACAAGGAAGACCACTTGATACTACTATTATTCCAATTGTGCACCAACCACCAAAGCCAAAGATAAGGAAATTGAAGACTTTTCCCAATTCTGCAATCTGAAATTGACCAAACATGCAATCAAAATGTATTGACTATCACTAGTGATTAGAATGCAAAAGTTGGAAACAAAGAAGAATCACTGGTAGTTGGAAAATATGGCCTTGGTGATAGAAATAACGGTGGAGATTGCATGATAGAATTTTGCAGGACCAATGACTTATTCATTGCAAATACCTTTTTTCAACTACACAAATGATGGCTATGTACATGGACTTTGCCAGATGGAGTACACAGGAATCAGATTGACTAGATCTCTGGCAAGAGGCAATGGAGAAACTCAATGTCTTCAGACAAAAGAAGGCCAGGAGCTGATTGTGGAACAGACCATCAACTGCTCATATGCAAGTTCAAGTTGAAGCTGAAGACAATTAAAATAAATCTACAAGAGCCAATATATGACCTTGATTATATCCCTCCTGAATTTATAGACCATCTAAAGAATAGATTTGATGCATTCAACACCAATGACCAAAAACCAGAGAAATGTGGGATGACATCAAGAATATCATCCATGAAGAAAGAAAAA